AGATGAAGATGAAGATGAAGATGAAGATGAAGATGAAGATGAAGATGAAGATGAGGATGGGATGGGATGAGGATCAGGATGAACCCTGCTGCCATCACTCCCCACTCCTCTCTCCCCTTCCCTATCTCCCTGCCTTCAGCCCACACGTGCTTTGCCCTCCAGTGCCTGCGCCGCAGCTCCACGCTCAGGGTTGCAATGCAACATTGCAGACATATAACAGCCTGAAAAATGAAGCCAAACTTTCCCCTCCCCACACCTCATCCTTGCCCTAAATACACAGAGCAAGCTGCGGAGCTCGGCTGGCTGCGCGATGGGAGCCAGCGGCGGATGTTGACAGCCTTGATGTTGGGCGGGCAGGATCCTGCACATCTCCCGCTGTATGGCGCTAGATATTTAATAAAGCAAAACCCCCAGGATCAAGCAGGCTGCCGTCCCTCCCAGCTCCTTTCTTCTGCTTTGCTCGAGCTCTTTAAAGCCTGCCTCCCGTCTCTCTCCAGAAAATCCTTTCATGCCTCCCTCACCAGACTGACATTTTGACAAGTTGCCACGAGTGACATCTGATTTGTACAAATTTCAAGACTAATAAATCTACCTGTCAAAGCGGAAACTTTAAAAGGAGCTAAGCCCAGCGGGTATAGTTTAACAGAACTCAAGTTGATGAAACTGTAGGATGGAGAAATTATATCTGTCACAATCCACCCACATTAGTTCTGTAGAGATGTTGGCAACTGAAACAAACGTCTTTCACAGCCTCGAAAGAAAAAAATAAAAATAAAAAAAATAAAAGGAGACTGTTAATACTGTGAGTAACAAGTAACAGTTCTATTTGTAAACTAGCACGGTTATTTATTTAATTTTTAATTTGCTTGTAGACACGAACAGGAGGAGACCCCCAGCTCCGTGGTGCAGTTGAGGTTCCAGCACCCAGGAGCAGTGGCTATGGCACACTGGGTCAGGACAGGGCACACGCTGCTCTGCCCAGCTCTCCTTGTACTTGCTGTGGTTCTCTGCAGGGAGCCCCGTCCCCATCTGCCAACCCAGAGAGCCAAAGGGGCTGTGATTGAGGCTCTCCCCATCCATGCATATCTCATCCCCATCCCCAGGACACAGAACTGGCGCTCAGAGTATTTTTCTGCAACAGTGAGCACAAAATGAGCCAGGTGCTTGCAAAGAGCTTCAAGGAGTATCCAGCAAACCAAGGAAGGAGCTGCAGCACGTGAAGCTGAGGTCCCTCCTCTTGCACTTCACAGCAGAAGTGCTCTGGGTCCTGCAAACCTTCCTGCAGCTCTGTGTTCCTCGTGTCCCACTCTCCTTTGGAGTTGTTTTCCTCTGGATGTACAGCCGCAGAAACACGCCATGCACAAAGTTGATGAAGCTTGGTTAATTTTCTAATAGGCGCAGCAGTGATGGATGGAAGCCGTGCTGTCTTCCAGCTCAACTTAAAAGTCAAATAAAAATAATCATGCTGATGGAAAAATATCATTCTTCCAGCAAAGGCAGATAATATATGATCTGTTCTATCTGCCAAGCGCCCGTCCCTGGTAACATTCCCATGTGCTTCAGCAGGGGCAGAGTTCAGCTCACACTATGCACTCTCCCATCCACCATACACTGGGGCTTCAGCGTAAACAACCCATGGAGCTTTTTCAACATCTGCATTATTTCTAATACGGTTCCCACATCAAGAGCTGTGCTGCAATGGAGGCAGAGGCGGCCTGCAGCAGGGACTGCAGCGTGTGGGATTCAGGGAGCACCTCCTACAGGTTGGAGTCTGCACGCTGCATTTGCATTGCATGGATCCTGCAAATCAGGAGTTGCAAGCTGTGCTCGGGGAGTCTGCAGCTTTCTGCAGGTCTGCTGTGCTGCTGAGAGCTCTGCAAAGGGCAACAGACCCAGAATTCAGGTGGGATGCAGTCGGAGCTGCGCTCAGCGTGGGGCTGCTCGGCGGTGCTGCGCTTTGGTTTCGCTGTGATGCCGCTGTGCCATGCCCCAGGTAAATCATCTCTAATCCGATTTGCTGAGCTCAGCTGCCTTCACAGTGGGATGAGGGATGGCAGGACAAGCCCAGCAGGTTATTTCTGCCATACTTCTTCCATCGCTCCATACCCACAGCAAATGACACCTATATATCTTGGCAGCAAAATGAAGCGTGGTGGGGACGAGTTTTCCTCCTCGCCACCAAAACCTCGCAGCCAGCGTACCAACACTGCCCACCCCATCCTCATCTCCATGCAGATTTCACACACGGCCCCAGGCAGTCGAATGCTGCACTGAAGGGCCGAGTGATGAAGAGGGGACCGCTTGCAGCCACCATCATTGCTTCAAACAAACAGGCTGAGAGCTTAATGATTTCAAGGTAAAGCGCTTTTATTAAGACAACACAGGGAACTTTTTTCAACCACAGCTGACATCACTATAATAAATCACCATCATGTCTTGTGGGATTGAAAAAGCCAAAATACTGTCAGAACTGATTTTTCTGGCTACTCATGCCTCCAGAACAAACCATGTGTTTTTAATCAACAAATCTTTGTTTTGCATTTCTAAGACCCTAGCACTCTTTAAATAGTTAGCATTTACCAGAGGGATATTTTAAATTCAGCACACTGCTTCCTTACTGGAGAGATTAGGAAACAGGACACCACATTACAGACTTACCGGGCTTGTCCAGGGCTTTTGGAAATTTGTTTTTGTTATATTTATGCAGTACAGAGATGGGCTTTCCCACACTTGTTTCTAGCTTCGTTCAGCCATTTCTCTCCCCAAAATGTGGACGTTCTCTGCTTGCAGTGAGCTGCACATTACAGTGCGTTGCTCCTCATCCTTTGCCTGCAGAGGATGTGAGCACGGAGCATCCTGGTGCCACCCTTATGCTCAGGTGTCTGTGTAGTGATGGGGTCTGGAAGGGTCTGGGGGGGTCCTGGGCACTCTCAAGGTCAGGCTGAAACCGGAGCCACCGGGATCCCCTTTCTCACCCTGCCAGACCCCCTCCCCCGCTGCCAGCTTGGCACAAATGTCAGTGCTGAGAATAACCCCGGGCCCATGCCAGGCACAAAGATGCCAGTGCCAATCACCCACGTCCAGCAATGTGTGAGCAGAGCTCAGGACAGGAGATGGACACCGCTCCTTCCACACTGCATGGTTTCTTTGGTGTGGGAAAGGCAGGCTGACCCCATGGAGGAGACCCCACAGGCAGTGGGAGAGACAGGAGGGGAAACCCCATGGACTGAAGGGACGCAGGGACCCTCAGGCTCAAGGTCAGAACTTGTGATCACGGTGATCCATGCTGACCCCAGGCTGAGCCCTGCCATCCCCAGACCCCCCTCAGCCACATGAAAGCAGCCAAGAGCACGCAGCCATGCGCTGCACTGCTCCCCCCAGAGATCAAAGCCCACGCCGGGGGCCGGAGCATGTGAGGGGCAGGTGTCCATCCCCCCACAGGCCACCATTCATCACACGCTGCGTCCCACAAGGAGATCAAACCCGGCCTCCCGCGGCTGTTGGTTAAAATCCGCCTTCCAGTTACCCTAATTAAAGTTTTCTCCCGGCTGACTGCCGTCCTGTGAGCGCTTCTTTCACTCCCAGAAACAAAGGCTGCAGTGAGGAGCCCTCATCCGGTGCCAGGACCGCTCTGTTTGCCTCCTTTTGAACTGGGACACTCTGCTGGAAAGTGGCTTTTCCAATTTGAGAGAAGTCATGGAGCCCCGTGCAGGGCTGGCGTCTTGCTACGGGCACCGAGGGAAGGATTTTCCCAGCCAAGACCTCCTTTGGGACACTTCTGGGTTTTATAAAGGAAATTCAGGCAAGAACCAAAGCTCTTCAGCACCCAAAACCAGGGCAGACTAAATGCAAGGTCTATGCAAGCCACATGGTGAAGAAGTTTTAAGGTTTGCACCAAACACCAGAAATCTGTGCCCTGGAACAAGAACACAGCAGAACCCAGCAGACGGTGCTGCTCCGTGTTCTGGTCTTGGCCCTGAATTACAAATAACAGCTGCAAAGTTTGTTCCCCACAGCACGCAGAGGGAAGCAGGCAGATAAAGGTCTGCACAACCTGCTGCTGGGGGAGATGGTATCTAAATAGGATTTTTGTTTAAAACCCAAGATAATAGCGATAACACTAATAATAATAATCCTAATGATCCCTCTTTTCAGGCTGCTTCAAAGCCCAAATCTTATCCTAAACAAGAAAATTATTCTAAGCCTCAGAGAATGCATTGAAAATTAATATTGATCATTAGGAATAATCACCCTACGAGGAATGGCACTGCAGTGCCTGGGGAAGGGATCTCTCCAGGGCCAGGCAATAATCACACTACTCCTATTGAGCAGTGCCCAGAGTGGATTAACCCCTTCTGTGCCAGCCATGCTGTGCCCTGGGTGCTGCAGTGCCTGGTTCACAGCCCCACACAATGTGCTGCTATGCCACTTAGTGCCACACAAAGCAATGCTGAAAGGGCTTTCAGAACACACCGTGTTGAGGCAGGAGCCTATGGAAGATGTTTAATACTAATTCTATTAGGCATCTGAGTTAATGAATCACAAGTGTAAGAAATCATGATAATCCAGCAGGCATTAGTGACAGATTAGCTTCAAAGCTACCATAAAAGTGCCATAATGCTTACCTAGCAGCGTGATTAATGCCAGCAATACATAATGTCATTATGAGGAATGGAGCGGCGTGGCGGCAGCTGACAGCCCCTTTGCTCTGGCCATGGCTAAAGCAGTGCAGTGCTGATGAATCCCCACAGGATGGGTGTTGCTGGGGTGCTGAGCTCACGGTCAGCACGTCCTCCTAAGCTGAGATGCAACCAGAGCTCAGAACCCATTGCTCCCAAGGATCCCCTCCCTGCCCAGCACATGGACACCAAGACACAGCACCATGCATGGAAGAAGGGGTGAGAGTGGGACAAGTTGCTATTGAATGGAACTAGATGGCTCATTATGGCTTTTAAGGATTGTTTTTCTACATCTTTATTGCTCAGGTTTGCTTAATTCTGGAGTGGATGCCTGCCAAATTGTCTATCAAATTACCTACTGGCAAGTAAACCAAAATCAGTTCACTTGAGTGCAGCCCTCTTCTATTTGACTTATAGCCAAGCAAAATATGGGCTTAATCAAGGGAGAAATTGGACGTGATGTTTCAATGAAAGATAACAGGGTACTGTCTGTTCAGTGGAAACAGGTGAAGACAACAGCCTGGGACGGAGAGCAGAGGGTTAGATGCTTTGGTGTAAGGTGGGGCTGCTCCTGTGAGACATGGCACTTCTATACCCACATACTCTGTGGGTGTTTACCCCTTCCTGCTGATTTACTCTCTGCAGAGCCATGCAGGTGGATGAGGCCCATGCACCGTTGCAGCATCTCCGTGCCCCTGGCTCATGCATGTGGTTCACAATGCTGCCTGATCAAAGTCCCCTGAGCAGACCTACAAGGTGGTTGGGCTGGATGATCTCAGTGGTCTTTTCCAACTTCAATGGTTCTCTGACTCTATGAAGAGCATGGAGCTTGCTTTGGAGCAGAGCACTCTGCTTTGTTCCAGAGGTCCTCTGAGAGTTACACTTGCATTGCCCACAGCTCCTGACTTGGAGGAGCATTGGGCTTTGATTTCCACACCAATCCTAGCTCCAGAGATGCTATCTCCATTCCCAGGACACGTGGTGGTGTTTTCAGTCCCCAACATCATGGGAGTGTGGGAGATTTCTCTTCTTCTTCCCCTCTCTTTGATCTTTAGTGGTTTCCAGCACTCATTCAAGCTCAGGAATTTGACTCCTGAAGGCTAAAAACTGGAAGGTAAATAAAAATAACCCCAAAGTTAATTATATACTTAACAAGTCATGTTTTTTTTAAGCCTGTCTCATTCCTTGTGGGGGTCTGACTCATGGTTCTGAGCACTTGCAGTTGGCAATAACGTCTTGCTATAATTTGAATTAAACCACTTGTAGCACTGCTCTGTTCTCTAATTTCATTTAGGCCCAGTGGGTGTCCTGTCTTCCTGGAATTTGTTGGCTATCTAATGAGAAGCAGCCTGGCGAACGATGTTAATGGATAAAGGCACCTTATGTGGGGGTAAGAAAGGAATGGAGGGGAGTGGGAAGGTGATGGGGAGGAGCATGTGGAGAAGGCCACCATGGATCCAGAGGGATGGAGAGGGATGGGGAGGGATGGGGAAGAGGAGGAGGATAGGGAGAATGGGGAGGGATGGAGAGAAATGGAGAGGGATGGGAAGAATAGGGAAGGATGGGGAGGATGGGGAGGTTGGGGAGGGAGCTGGTACAGGAGACTGTAGGGATGATTTATGCAGGCTTCCTATGCAGCAAGTGCTGTTGTATGGCCTTTGAACTACATCCCAGGAGCCACTCCGTGTCCCCACAGCCACCTCATGTCCCCACAGCCACCCCATGTTCCCCTCAGCAGTGACCTGTTGACCCGGCGCTGAACCCGAGCCCTGCCCTGCTCTCACCCCAGGGGACACGGAGGTCTGTTTGATCCTTCCCATCTGCCCAGCTTTCCCTATGAAAGGGGCTGTTGGCTCCTGCAGGCTGAGCATTGCGTGTCCCTGGCCCTGAGCATCTCCCGGTGCACGGCTCACAGTGGTGACGAGCCACAGCCTTTGCTCTAAGCCGGGTGGCCCAACCTAGCAATGAAATGGTTCCTCTTCTGCCACAAATGAGTAAATAAATAGGGGGGGAGGATATTTTCAATGGCCCCCTCTGTCTGCAGGGAGGTGCAGTTCCCCGCAGCCCTCTCCAGGAGAGCCATTTCCAAACCTTTGCCAGCAGGGCTCACTGGAAGGCGCCATGCTATCCGTGCCACTCACTCCCCCCTGCCCATTCCCCATCCCATTTCCCACCCCATTCCCCATCCCATTTCCCACCCCATTCCCCATCCCATTTCCCACCCCATTCCCCATCCCATTTCCCACCCCATTCCCCCTCCCACTCCCCATCCCAAGGGCAGGGAGGGCTCCCAGGCAGGAGCACAGAGCCCCATATCTGGTGGACCACTGAGGGAAAGGTGGCAATACTAACAAGAGCAAAAAAAACAAAATGTAGGAAAATGACCTATATATATATATATATATATACATACAGACAGACACACACGTATATATACAGATTCTAAAAGAGCAAAAGGAAAAAAAAAAAACAACTTCCAAAGTCGTAGGAGTTGCTGAGTTGAGTTACGGGGGCTGGGGTCGGATGATTAACAACCCTCCTGCATTTCTGCATCACAGCCATTACTCACTCCAAACCTGAGGCTTCTCAGTTACATACCCCGGCGCAGGCCGACCATTTTTTCCATTGACTGAAAACACATTCTGACTGAAAACAAACTTTCGATCCCCAAGGCTTGGCACGCCTCGGGTCCTTCACCGTATTTAATCAACGGGAAGCTAAACACTTTCAATCTGTGATGGCTCATTTGGAGAGGGAGCTCTGGGCCCTCGCTAGGTGCCAGATATAATAACTCTCCCCTTTTCTTTTCTGAGGCCTACTTTTATAATTTTGCTATTTTTCAATGTCAGACCCATCTTTTGAAGAAATTTTATTGGATTTCCTGCTAGACTTCAGCGAGGATTTTTCTTTCTTTGGCAGAAATATCAAGCAGAACAGGGGAAAAACTCAATCATAACCTTGGAACGGGACTCATTATTAGTTAGGATTTCTTTGTCCGTTTGCACAAACGTTACTTAAGGGGCCCCTGGGCGCTCCGGTCTCCCCCAGCTGCACATTTCCATAAGGTCTCCCCAAAGGCTTTGGAAATCTCTGCGAAATTCCTCATGGCTTCAAAAGGGAGAAGAGCTGCAGAGGGGCAGGGCAGCCTCGGGGCCCTTTGCTGTGGCTCAGTTCGGCACACTGCAGAGCTCCCAGCCCAGGGAATGAGCAGGGTTTGCTGGCTCCAGGTTCTCGGGGCTCTGTAGGCTTCCCGTCTTCTTTCTTGCAGTGTTTGAGGTTAAGAGGTATGCAACAGCCTCCAATAAATCGCTTGGTGTGGCGTACAACAAAACAAGAAAATGTAATTCAGATTAAAGTCACCCTCTGGCTAAAATGATAGTTTATTAAATAAGCTGCAGCGCTGCCAATCAACTCTGCTGGCAAGCAATGCTTTGACATTAATCTTTTTTGATGTGATTTAGGGTACACCTGGGCCTTTGTAGAGTATCTCCCATAATTTCTTTCCCATCTCTCTGGATCAAGCTGCTGTGCTTGGCTCCGTTGACAAATTCCCCAAGTAATCCCTCAAAAGATTGGAGAAATGCTCCAAACGCTCCATTAAATTTATTTTCCGTGCTTTAAGAGCCCCAAAACTATGTCCAATAAATAAGTGTTCAGCGTGATTTATGGAAATGCTGCTCTGATTTAAAGTCACAGGGGGGGAAATGCATCCCCCCCCCCGGGGCAGGAGGAGCTGTGCCCGTGCCCCACACCCAGACCCAGCTCTGAAGGTCTCCACTCGGGTTTCCTTTCCCCCAAAAAATTTATTGCGTTGTACTTATTGGGGGAACCATCAAAAGAGTAATTCTGGCCCTTGTTTTTGCACAGTCCTTTTGATAAATATGATACTTAGAAATATGCCTCCCACAAGACAGGAAAGCCATAGAGTTAAAATGAAGTAATCTGTCAGTAAACTTGTTGGAATCAAAGCCAAAATGAAACCTGTAAAAGCAAAAGGAGAGGGGGAAAAAGACAGCCCGCACTCCAGAGCACTTTGGGCAAAGCAGGGAGAGGGCAGACGGGGGCTGTCCTTCCTGCAGGCAGTTCTGCATGAGTCAGGGCTGGTGCTCAAAGGGCCTCTGTTCACATCCAGCCTTGGTATTGCTCCTGTCCCTCCAGGGACTCCATGTATTGAGCTCCGTGCAACCAGCTCCATGTCTTGAGCTCTGTGTGTTGAGCTCCATGCCACAAACCTCATGCCGCCATCTCCTGTCCCTGGATGCAGCTGTGGAGTTTCTACCACCCTCACGCTGCTCTTTTTTGGTAGCATCCGATGGGATTTTCTCTTTTTGCCTGATTCCAGAGAAGCACACCCCATGGTGTGCCGAGTTCTCCAGGGCAAACACAAAGCAGGTCACAGTGTGGGACTGCGTTCATCCCCCTTCAGATTTTCCTCCCCCTCTGGAACAAACACCACAGAACTTAAGGCCATGTGCAAAATGCAGCCCCGTTGGTTCTAGGGAGGGCAGGAATTCTTTGCTCTCCTCTGACCCCACAACTTCCAGGGCCGTTCCCAAACTGGGTCACAAACCTGCCCCAAAACACAGCCCAGAGAAGCTGAGGTTCAGAGGGTCCTGGCACAGGGGGAGACCCCACGTGGGGTCGGATCCTGCTCTTCCTGCTGGCATGGATACAGTTGAAAGCGAGGTGTCTTGCACCACCTGTGTTTACACTGTGCAATCTGCAGTTTACTGTAATAAAATCATTTAATACTGTCATAATTTTTTTGGCAAGGGCCGCACTGCGTGATATGGAGCGGAGCCACCTGACAGCAGCCTGATGTGAGCGATAGTGCAGAGGGCAGGAAGCAACATGAAGAGCCACCCCGGGGCTTGCAGGGCTCGCCAAGCAGACAGAACAGAGGGAGAGGTGCACAAAGAACCCGGTGTGCTGCCCCAAAACCCCTTCTGTGTTCCTTGAAAACCTGTTCTCATGCTGCTTATTGGGGCTGGGGAAGGGAATCGGGGTCAGAGGTGCTTCTAGGGCATGGGGTTGGGGATGCTCCCTGGGGTCTGGGTGAGGAAAGGGGAAGGCGCACGTACGGGGCGAGGAAAGGAGAAGGGAAAGGGAAGGAGAGCGGTGTGCGTGTGTGTGACTGCGGAGAGAAACAGGATTCATGGTAATTTCCTGCCAGATGCCTGAACTCCTCCAGCATGCAGACATTTCACATGTGAAATATCAAAGCGTTCCCAATAACAAATGTACTTCCTGCAGCTCCTCAGATCTGCCTCCGTGCCAGCAAGGGAGCCGGGCAGGGAATGCCGCTGCAGCGTTGAGGGTGCAGGGCTCAGCTGAAGGCTATCACCACTTTGGGAATGTTATTCCCAGGTTTGGGAATATTATCCCCCAATTTGGGAATGTTATCTCCAGTTTTGGGAACAATTGCTGTCGGTTTGGGAAGGTTGAACCCAGGTTTGGGAATGTTACCCTCACATTTGGGAATGGCACCCTGGGTTTAGGATGGTGACTCCCAGATTTAGAGATGTTACCATGGGTTTGGGAGCTCACGTTGGCTCTGGCAGTTCACACTGCCTTTTGGGTGTGCAACACACATCCACAGCCTCTTGACCCCATCAGCACAGTGCTGAACATCTCCGGGTTCCGGACTGATTCTGAGCTCTGTAAACATCCTGACAACAGTGAGGAGGAAAACACCCACCCCAAAGAGCTGCTGGGCTGGGATGGTGATGGGGACACAGGCAGCCCCACTGCAGGGACATCTCCATACCAACCCCACTGCACAGCACAAAGTGTTCCCCTCCAGGGAGGCAAAGAAGAAAACACTTCTCATCCACTTTGGCCATTTCCCTTGTTGATGTCTCACGAAGTTGATTCCTGTTTGCAGCTCAGACACCATCATCCCACCTCCAATGGGACCTGATGCTGTTTCCAAGCTCTTTCTAAGTGCCTTGCTGGAAGGGAAGCAGTGGGGTTCACCTAATTCAATATTTTTGAGTGTTTTCAGGACCTGCACAACTCTCTACACCAGGTGGCTGTAACTCACTCCTCGTGTTCTTTACAAGATATTTGTAAGCTTGCAGCAAATCTCCCTTGCTCTCATCCACATCTTTCAGTGCTAACATACACACAAACCCTGCAGGCTGAGAGCCGCTTTGCATGGGAGAAACTCACGCAAAAAGACCCAAATCATCATAAATCAATACTAACTGTACGCTGCTTATTATTTCCTATTGTCTATCGGCCCTCGAAGTTGATATTGACTCGGTTGGAGCAAAACGTCGATAACCGCAGACCTCGAAGGTCAGGGAGGATGGATAGCAGGTGAGAATCCCCTCTGAATCTCAGTGGTTGGATTTTTCTTCGGGAGAGCTTCATGCAGCCCAAGGAGGGGAGGGGGGACCCATCCCTAGGGATCGCAGTGCTGGTTCCAGCGCCCGCCCGCGCCCCGTCACATCTGTCACTTCCCATTAGAGCCCGCCAGCCACATAATGCGCTTTGACTGATGTAATTGGGGCTGACACAGCGGCAAAAGGATCTCCAGAAACTTTACACCACGCGGTTTCCTGCACCCCGCTCCCTCTGGCTCTTTGCTGGAAACCGCGCTTGGAGGCAGCGCCCGGGACTGCACTCACCAGAACTGGGGTCAGTTTCCAGCTGCTGGGTCTGGAAATGGGAACCTCACCCCGGCCACTGGCTGCAAGGCTGCAAAGTGGTGGCAGCTCTTATAGCGAGAAAACCCCACTTGTGCCCTTTGCTGGGAGGGCACTTTAACCCAATATCAAAGCAGTGGTCCTAGGGAAATTCCCCCCCTGAGTGGAGAAACACAAGCTGGAGGCTCCTTCCCCATCCCCACACCATCACAGCGAGGGGCTCCAGTAGGCAGGGCATCCAGGAGCCAGCCCATGCTGCAGACGATAGGAGATTGTACCCAACAGTCAGGGATGTAGGTGACTTGGGGATGTGGGTGTCTTGGGGATGAGGACGATGCTTTGTCTCTGCCATCCTTGGGCAGTTTCAGGGAAGCAGAGTGACCCACAGCCTTTATCTGCCCCTTGGGCTGATGCTTGAGCGCAGTACTTGAGATAGGAGCTTCTGCAGAGCTCCTGAACTTGACTTGAACATACAGCCTTCTTGTCCCTCCTGCTGTGGTTCAAGGAGAAGCAGTGACAGTGGCTCAGCCCAAAGTGGAGCCACAGGGTTTTGGACCTGTGAGATGAGAGCAGGGAAGCACCGCTGCTGCTGTTGTGCTCCTGGAAGGGACAGGGCTGGGGCAGCTGTTGGGTGATGCTCAGCACCGCTTTGTGGGGGGATCTGGGGGCAATGATGCTGCTACAGCCCTGATCTTCATGGATCAATGTTTCTGGCGTGCTCATGGTCTCTTTGCCAAAAATACTTTCTCACTGTGAGCATCATACATAACGAGTGAGAACATCCAGCACTTTGGGGAGATCAATAGCACCACAGTTGTAAATATCCCGGGAAATCAATGGGGGATGTAAGAGGTATTTCACCCATTTTCACTTCTAACATCTCTTTGTACTAAAAATGGTATTTTAATAAGTGATGGGTGGAGGCTCTCCCTGTGCACGGCTACTGCGTTGCTCAACTGCCTCTGATCCCTGGGAGCACATCTTTCCTTCCACGTGGCCATGGCCAAACATACACTCTCCTGTATTAAAAGAGCACCAGCTCCTCGAGAAAGACTGCAGAAAATCTCTCAGTTTGGGATGACTCCCAACCTTGGGGAGCTACAGAAATTGAATCCGCAGCACCTCTCAGAGAAACATCACCCAAAGGACTCAGGGCAACTTCTGGGACAGCGGGACAAGGTGATGCTGGAATCCCTGGCAGCACCCAAGTCTCTCATTGCCCAAGAAGACAAATCTTTGTATGGCACCAAAGTACAGCACAAAAAAGCTACGTGGAGCCAATGACCAGCATCCAACTCCACGGCAGCATGCTGCCCTGCGCTCCCTGGCATCCAGCTCTTGGACACCTTCAACACAGGTGTTTTCCCAGCTCTTTCTGCTGTTATGGCCATGTTCGTGGTGCTCAGAGGTGGGGGCAGGAGGCAGCCCTGGGGGCATGAAACCCCTCTGAGCAGCGTCACCCCAGTGCTGTGTTCCCATCCCCACGAGCCAGCAGGACACCTTTCATGTCCTAAATGCAGCGTGGAGGCCAACATAGCACTAATTACAAGGCAGTGCATCCCCGTGCCCTGTGACTAAGGCAGTATGTAGAGCAAAGGTAGGAACAAACCACCAGAAGAGCAAATAAATAAAGGAGGCAGCCTTAATAATGGGGTAATTACCTGGCTTAAGTACACAATCATCTAGCATTTTGCTAAACTTTATGACACATGATGACAAGTTAATAAATGAGATGTCTTACCAGCAGTAAAACAGCTGTTAGCAGCCACCTTGTATGTCTGGGTAGCCCAGAGCAAAATGAACCACCGCGCCAAATGAAAAGAAACTGGTTATTTCTGTTTGTCGAAATAGCCCGTGTAATAAATCACCATTAATGATGCTGTCACTTATCAAAGGGAAAGCTCTTGTTGCAAAAGCCTTTGAAGTCATGGCACCTATAATTTCCTACCTATAAAAAGGTGCCTTTGTGCATGTGTCATGGCTGGAGCTGCTGGGAGGGACCTGGAGTTCAGTGCTGCCCATAGCTCTGAGCTGAGGGGCACCATGGGGCGGGGGGCACCAAGGAGCAATGGGAGCACAGGGAGTCCCCAGCCCAGTGCTGAGCCCTGCAGCAGGAGCCCAGCCCTCCCTGCTCTCCCATCCACTCTGTAGACATTGCTAATGCTTGTGCAATTATCACATTATTGCAAGAATCTTCGTCTGCCATCGCGTCCTGCAGAAGAGCACAGAGGAGTCTTGCCCTGCTCCTCTGCTATGCAACCACTGTGCAACAAGAACCAGGCTGCAAGCACGGCCCCTGTACAAACAGTGCCTGTCAGCAGGGATTAAACCCTCTGTCAGCACAGTGCAGGAGGCAGCAGGCACTTGAACTAAAGGAACATCTCCTTCCAGCAGCAAGAATGCAGCCAGCACTTGTAGCTGTAAGAGGAGCTGTGCATTGCATGCACGTGCTGCAGGGATGGGGACGGCGGGATGGAGCTGCTGACCCCATCCCACAGACCTCTGGAGACCGTGTCCTATGGGATGCAGCTCAGACAGTGGGGAGCTGGATGTATGCAGAGGTGTCAGTGGGCTCTGCTCATGCTGCCAAGCAGGAAAGCAGCAAAGCCCAGCAGAGCAGGACAGGGTGCTCAGTCAAGAAAAGCATGAGACCATACCTATGCCAACCTGTGGGCAGCTGCCATGTCTCTGCCCTCCACTCGTCCCCATACTCTGTCCATGCAATGCATCCTAAAAGAGCAATGAAGTCCCAAGTAAAGGGCTACAGAGGCAAAGGGGGGGGGGGGTTCTCCCCCTATTTAGGAGGAATGTGTTTCTTTTCTAGAGACCTAAGGAGGTTTTTTTCCCTCCTTCTTGATTATTAAACGAGGCAGCTCCTGTGTCGCTTTGTCACTTCTCCCTGTTGAAGACACTTTCTCTTTTCTTCTCATCTGAGCGGCAGCACCTCACCGCCTCGTAGCATCTGCTGCAAGAAGTCGTCACCTGTCACCTCTCCCCAAATGACTTGAGAAAACAGGATAGAACAGCTATAAATAATTTAGACCCATCCGACACTGGTGCAGTGACTAAATATCAGAAGTGCTGGAGCATCACAAGCATTGATAGCCACGTAACCTACTTTGGGAGGAGGATGAGAGCAGCAGGACCGCGTGCTGCCCTTGTGGCCAACGCTTCTCAGCTCCCGTTGAGGGCCCACGGGCAGGGCATGGCCCATCCCTTTGGCACACTGAGATAAAGGTTTGCATCACCCCAAAGACACAGACAAAGCATCCCAAAGGAGCAGGAGAGGGACTTACTATTAACATGCATGATTTCCTGATCAAATCCTACTGCTGTCTCAGAGCTTGTAAGAAGTTAACATCAAAGCCAAGGAAGGGAGGGAATGGCAAGTGCTGGGAGAGATGTCACATTAGTGTCTGGCTCTCCTGCAGCTCCAGCCTTGCTCGTCAAGGCTCTGGCTCCATCGCCCTGCTAGCAGGGAAGGGAAGCATCCCCCGTGTGCTGCAAACAGCAGGAGGACTCGGGTCCTGCACTGCTCCGGCTGCAGGGTGAGATAGGAGCTCCCCTTCGGGCCCTGCTGTAATTGTTCGTCAGGGCATCAGTGCAGCAGAGCCTGATTAAATTCCCAAGCGAGCAACCAGGGAGATAATTAACTTTTGGAACAACTCACCTGCGAGACGCAGCATCCATCACTCAAGGTCTTCTCTGCTGGAGGTGACCCTGCAGCCCAACTGGTGGGAAATATCCTTTGGGGAGTGGAAAGCGCTGATTTACCCGAATTGAAATGATCTGCAGGAGCGCTCCTGGCTCCAGCTGGCAACAAAAGCAGGGAGAGCTGCACAGTGCTGTCAGCCTGCCTGGGCCGGGGACATCGGGGTCACCCGTCACCAATGCTCGCTTTGCTCAGGGCCTTCTCCATCCATGCACACGCACACACCTGATTTTAAGTGGGGTTAACCCTGGTTGGGGATGAAATGAGCCTGGTTCTCTCACCCTGTTGGTGCAAACCCAACGCTGGGGCCCCCAGGATCCCCCCCCCATGTGTAGGGTACACTGTCAACCCAGAGAGCTGCTTTGATTTGGAGTGCGCAGCGCTGTCTCTGGGAGATTTATGGCCCCAGCGCCTTTGATGTGGGGCTCTGATAAGCATCAGGAATATTTTTGTTTCATGACAATGTCAGCCAGGGAGCTCTGAGTGCAGGGGTTTATGGGCAGCAGTGCTTCCTGCAGCCCTTGAGCCGGCTGCCACATTCCTGGGGAAGGCCGGCCATGAAAATAAAATCATAAACCCTTGGAAGGCTTTATAAACACAGGGAAGCTTCTCCTTTAAGGGAGAGGAGAGGGGAGTATTTCCATTTCAATCAGGGACATCTCTGGAACAAGCCCTCAGCCAGGGCCCTGCAGAATTTGTCAGGGGATTAGCTCAGGAAAAGAGAGAGTGCAGGATTTTTCCCCTTCGCACTCACTCGGCTGTTATTCCAAATTAGGCTGTTCGCCTTCAGCTCAGAGGAGGGTAATGAAAACCAGAAGGGAGCTGCAATGGGAGCCTGGCTGGGGGCAGGGGACAGGCAGGGCAGCAGCAAAGCACAGGCATGCAAGGGGCAGCGGGTCCCAAGCGGAGAGGAAGCAGTGCTGGTGCTGGCATACAAGAGGAGCATGGCACTGCACAATGCTGCATGGCAATGCACAGTGCTGCATGCATTGCATAGTGCTGCATGGCATTGCACAGCACTGCAAGGCATTGCACAGCGTTGCACCATGCTGCTCTGCCATGCAGAGGACCCCGCGTTGCACCCACACTGGGGTCCCGCTGCAGGGAAGCTGCTGAGTCCTGGCTTTCTCCCCTCAGCAGCCTCTGCTCACTGTCAACTGCTTCCCACGTGATTTATTTGAGGTTTATGCTCCAGCCTGTAATGCAAAACCACGGAGAGCATTTCTTCCTCCTTGTAATTAAAGCCCCCGATGCCGGAGCGCACACCTGGTATAAACAACCATAAAAAAGTACATGTGCAGAGCCAGCACTGTTTTTAGGTGCTGGGAACGCAGCCTGAGAGTGGGTGCCCTTCCGAGAGGCCTCAAAGCCTCTTTCCAGCCCAGATCATTCTCATGTCCCCCATGTCAACACTGCGCATTGTTGTCCCAATCCTATGCTGTCCCCTCCAGCTCCATGGGAAATGCTCGTATCCATGCAAGCAGGAGGGCAGGACAAACAGGTTGGGCTGCTGAAAAAGGGAATGAGGAACGGCTGGCAGCACCTAGCACATACTGACCCCAGTCACAGCCCAATGCAGGGTCAGGAATGAGGCAGCCCCTCTCCCCCAGCACATCGTGCTGCTGAGCAGAGACCCACCGGCTGCGTCACAAACCCAGGAACTCAAAGCAATTTTAAATGAACTTTCAAAATGATGAACAAAGAGCCCTTGCCCGTGTTATCCAGCAGATAAATCACACCAAAATGATAGTTGTAATTCCCAAAAGTACACAGCGGATTGATTTTCCGATGGCATTTATCATGATGAAGCAGTGCAGCAGCATGCAGGTACAGCTGAAGCTGCAGCGGCCGCCTCCCTCCGTCCCTCTCCCGTTTATCTCCCGTCCCATCTCAGCCACATTTGTACAGTTGCACAAGAGATCTCTGCTGCTCCACCCTCTCCGCCTTCGGCTGCACCATCCAAGCACCAGCAGAGCCCCGCTCCATTAGGATAACACTGCTTTCAATCCCCAATCAGATGTTTAAATTATAACAGTGTGTGCCTGCGTATATATCTCCCTTTGTCAGAGCCTCGCCAGCCTCTCCTTCTCTCCTTTATTTGTCTTGCTGCTGTTGCAGCGAAAATGTATTGGCTTTGCAGTTAGTGATTACACGTCATCACATACCCAATTTATAACACCATACCCCAAAGAACAGATGTAATAAAGCCAGGCCAGGAAACAGCAATGTTATAAAACAGAGCAGTCAACTCAAAGGTCTTCGCATGTGTGCAGGGAAGAAAATATTGCAGACTCTGCTTTGGGGAGGGGGGAGGCTGTGGGAGGCAGGGGTTGGCTGCAGGCGGGGGATGTGGGGTCACAGGGGGTGGGGACACTTGGGGCTCTTAGTGCAGAAATCACTGCTGGGCTCTGCAGCCTCCATGAGAGGCTCACGGAGTGGATGGGGGGCTGTAGAGATGGATTGGAATGGGATGGGGTGGGTGGAAGTAAAGTGAGAAGGGATGGGATGGGATGGGATGGGATGGGATGGGATGGGATGGGATGGGATGGGATGGGATGGGATGGGATGGCGTGGGATGGGATGGGATGGGATGGGATGGGATGGGATGGGATGGGATGGGATGGGATGGGAGGGGATGGGGTGGGGTGGGATGGGATGGGGTGGGATGGGGTGGGACTGGATATGTTGGGATAGGAAGGTCTGGAATGGAATGGAATGGGACAAAGCAAAGTGAGATGTGAGGTAATCTGATGGGAAGGGATGGGGTGGGATGGGTTTGGTTGGATGGGATGGAATGAGATGTGGGAATGACACTTGTCTTAGGGGCAGTTCTTCCCTTGTCCCAATCCCACTCTGGGCTTGCAACATCCTCCTATCCAAGAGGAAAGGCAAGGGCAGTGATTATCTGCAAATCCTTGATCCTCCCCTTCCCATTCATCCCCAAAGCCACCAGCTCTCAGGAGCAGTTCTCCAAAAAGGCTTACTCTGTGCAAGAATTTATCTCTTTCTATTCACCATGCAGGAGACAGGGCATCTCGCAGTGGGACTGGCTAATCTGAACCAGAGATAGGAGAGACCCCAGAGCAAGAGCTGCGTGGGGATGGGCTCCGATAACGTGGCAGCAGTGGGGTGAGCAAGCAGCTCCCAGCCTCTCATTATCAA